GGTTATATATATACGTATATGTATATTTATAAATATATATATATATATATATATATATATATATATATATATATATATATATATATATATATATATATACATATATATATATATATATATATATATATATTTGTGTGTATATGTATATGTATATTTAGATATATATATATATACATATATATATATAGATAGATAGATATATATATATATATATATATATATATATATATATATACATATATATATATATATATATATACATATATACATATATATATGTATATGTATATGTATATATGTTTGCACTTGAATACATATATATATGTATGTGTATACGTATATGTATATATGTATGCACATGTACATTTACATATCTATGTATATTTATAAATATATTTATACGGATATATATTTATTGTTCTAAAATGTGTATGAAGTTACAATTTGGAAATGTGTTCCACATATCATTATCGACAGCTGCGTTCGCAAAGAATATATATATATATTCATATACGCATATACTTATATACTTATATTCATATATTTATGTTGTTCTATAACGTGTATGGAACTGTATACTAACAATTTATAATCGACAGCTGCGTTCGCAAATTTTTTGATGAATTCGGATACGAGCGACTTGACCATGCAAGTTGATCAGTTGGGAATGTTACAATCTAATCCGGGGGCGCAGTTTCAGGCACAAGCACTGGCGCTGGCTCAAGCACAAGCCCGGCAGCAACAGCAACAACAGCAGCAGCAGCAGCAACAACAACATCAACAACATCAACAGCAACAAAATCAATACCAACAACAGCATCAACGTCATCAACTACAGCAGCAGCAACAACAGCAACAACAGCGCGTACAGGTACATACATGTATTTTATTTGCTATGCTGGTAATTCATGTGGGCAATTGGGGATCCTGAGAAGCTGTCGTTTAATATGTTTTCTGTTTTGTTTTGTTTTTGCGCTGCAATTGTATATAGGTCGACATTCTATCTCAGGGTACATGATGATCGCATTTATATATTCAGTTCGATCAAGTCAGCTGTATCAAGTTTACATCCGTAAAACAATGTTCCATAGCAGCATGAATCAGTGTGAAATTACCATTTTAATCGAGCATCCCTATTTGGTTATCATCGATTTTTACTATCACTGGTAGGGTCTAACACTTTGCTGTACATCTTGTCAAAAGCACTTCCAGCAGAGTCTAGAGCAGTCACAGGCGCACCAGGCACAGCAGCAACACGCCCAGGCCCAAGCCCAAGCCCAAGTTCAGGCACACGTTCAAGCACAGCAAGCGCATCAAGCGCAAGCACAGGCTCAGGCGCAGGCTAAAGCTAAGGCGCAGGCTAAGGCGCTGGCTCAGGCTCAGGTACCGATGGTTTGCGCCGCTTAGTGATGGGATACGTTTGAATGTCGAAGTATGGGTTAGGTCGAGTGTGAATGGGTGGGTGCTCGTCGTGAGTGTTTGCGTAAATTTACACATCATATCAAATATGATGTCTCCTTTGCGCAGCATATGAATCCTTGTAGTGATCTCAGTTGAGACAAGATCGAAACTTCTTTGTTAATTGCTGTGGTCGTCGCCGTTCACTATAGAAACATAACAATCCGGCTGGAAAATGACATGTATATCTTAGATTCTCGGCTGCTGACCTATTCGTGAGCTCAAACAACGCAACGCGTTGATCGATGTTGTGGTACATCATTCTGCCCACTACGGAGGTTCCGTATGTTTACTCATTCCAACTTTGATTTGTACTCTCCGCTACAATTGGATTCGTGGTTGTTGAACATTTCGAGTAAGGAACTTATTGCTTCATAAATCCCGTCCACCGTGCAGGCACATGCGCAGCAAGCGCAAGCACAGGCTCAGGGAAACACTTGTCAGTTTCCGCTGCAAGGGAGCTCGAGTTTGAACCCGACACCTATCAATACAAACTCATCCATCAACAGTCCTTTACGTATGTACACATGAGAAGTATACTTTGTGCAGAGTGCATGTGGGGCTTATGTGGAAATAGATTGTGTATCCGTGGTGCAAGGCCGTGCGAGGGGTGTATGCAAAAATTATATGCGTCCTGACAGATGCTGATATGTGTGCACGTAGGTGAGATTTAGTAAGTACCTGAGCCTTTCCTGCTAATTGTTATGCTTTTTCTGCGGCTACGTGTGTATAGTGGAGTATTTGAGTACATCTGTAACACTTTGCAAACTTGATACTAACAAGTGTGAAATTAGGTATTTATGCGATGATTTTCGATACAAACCATAAATTTAGCTCCAAACTATCCGTGTGAACTAAAACTCTACTTTGAGTGTTATGACGTGTTTTGTTTGTATTCGGCAGTCACTCTCAACGCAGGATATCCATATACTTCCAGCGTCTGTTATAATCATAGTGAATTTTTGTATGTTTTTGTTCGGAAGGCACGGCGGCAAGAATGTGCACTCGGTGTTTTCGTGACGTGTTTTCCCGAGTGAAGTGGTCGAAGCATTCGGATGCTTCAAATGTACACGTGCATGTTTTGCCCACGGATTCAGGTGATATTCGTCGCCGTGTTGATGTGTACGGAGTCACACATCAGCGTATGGTAGACTCGGTGCAAGTTTGTAGCAAGCCTGTCTATGGGTGGAAGAATATGCAGTTCCTAGGTGAAATTGCACGCAAGGAGTTAAAGAGATAAAGCATATAGCAAGTACGTAGCAATGCACTCAAGGACCTTGACCGTCTGAGAGTTTGACAGAGATAAGCGATAGTTTGTAGTAGATGAAACTCGTGTTGCAATGTATGGGAGATATGAAGGTACATTGAATCATACCTCACTGTTACACTGCGATAGTACAGTCTGACCCACATGCCCATCTCGTCACCACCACGCGATTATCATGGCAGGTGTCTACTGATAAAACCTATTCAGTACAGACAACTGACACCACTCCGCTTTATTCCACAGAACCTCCGGTATCCAATTTGGGGCTGTTGACACCTCAATTCAGCGGCAATGTGAATTCGATACTCAGTCCGGGCGCCAGTCCATATGTGGGAGTAGGAGCGACCTCAACCAACACAGGAGTGGTCTCGCCATACCAGTTCAGTGCGTCCTCGTCACAGTTGTTGGCCCGACCTGGGTACATGAGGAGGTGGGGTGAAGACGATCTGGAACGAGACAAGGAGCTGAAGAAGTCCAATCACATCCTGAGCGAACAGAAGCGTAGGGACAATATAAAGGACGGGTTTAAGGTATGATTCAGGCTCGCGGTCTGGGGCATTTGGTTGGGGTTCATTTTGTGACTAAACCGGATGTCTGTTGACTGATATACTCGCGCGTGACTGCTTGGGATGTAGTTATGAATTAGTTTTCTAGCGGCCGTCACACTGGCATGTGATTTGGGTCAGAAGGTAGCGTCGAAAGCAACACGCTTTGAATACGGATTGCTATTTGAGAAGAACACTCCCAGGCCAAGTAGCTTGCGCTCATTTATCGATGTACCAGGCTGTGCTTTCTCGTTGAACCGTGGTGAACTTGTCCATCACTATACCAGAAAGAATGTGTTACGCAGTTGTAGTAGGACCCAATCGTATGTGCCACAATTTTCATAGATGTAATATAGTAAATCACCAATGCAGAACGTGATGCGCGTTGAATTTTTCTCGGATGTAATACGTCCAAGAGAGTACTCTGTTTGGATGCTCGCTAGTGACAGTTGACAGTGCAATTAGATAGTCCTAGCGGGACGGAAGTGGTCAGCTAGATGGATTGTGTAGCCGAGAAGTCCTGCGGTGTACCTTATGCATGTGGTAGAGACGTGAGGGGTTAATAGTGTAGGGTTTTATGGTGTAAGATTTAAAGGTTTTAACGCGATGGCGAATACATCACTTGTGCAATGCAAGTCAAGAAAAGTATGTATCAGAGCTACGAAACTACGAGACTTTCACCTCGCTGTCAAATTTTGGGGTTATAGAATGCGCCGTCAGGTACTCACAGTCCAAGCGGTGGTCCCATGTGCACCCGTTCTCGTATGAATTGGATACTGATCTCTGCACAGCATAACACACGTACTATATCTAGGACACTCACATGACATCAAATGCACGCCAGGTACAGAGTGAAGTATTCACACATGTCTTTATTCATCGACACAGGTGCTTGCTGATGCACTCCCAAGTGGCCGGCAGGCGACGCCGCGAGCGGCTCTGCTGAGGAAAGCTGTTGAATATATCGCACATCTCAAAAAGCAGAACAAAAGGTAAGACAAAGCAGCAACTAGTTAAGCTGGGATTGCACATGAGTATGAAATGAGTTTCTGAAACGTATGCGGGTCCAAGTTGGGTATGACTATGTATGTAGGCAGGAGTGTATACGGGCAGAAATACTTATTACCAGGTGTGACCCTGGCCTGGCGTGGGGGTTGGGGAGCTTATAGGCCCCTGCCCATTTTAATATAAATTGGGTGCGTGCGTAGTCGACTCTCCGAGTGGTCATGGTGTGGCGCGTGCTTACGCTTTCACTGAAACAAACCGTTGGCTGTGAGGTATTGCCACTATTACGTACGTAGTAATAGTCAATTCGTGAGTGCCACTGAATACAACAATCTGCTTCGGTGCACAAGCCTACGCATGTGTGGAGGCATACTTCTGATAAAAGACAATCACCAATACCCGTGCCTGCATGCACAGGCTAATGAGGGAAATCACTGGTGGTGTGGCAGGGGAGGCTGAGAGTGAGTCTTTCGACGGGGACGGCGACATGTCCGTCAACGAATTATTGAGCTCACTGGTACGACAGTTGAATTTAGATGAGACAAACGGCGATACCTCCAATATACGGCTTATGTACAAGGAGAATGGGTTGCAGAAGAAGATGAACTTGACATCGGGTGAGGATGTAAGAGACTTGTTCGAGAAGCACAGAAGCGATGACAATAACGAGATAAAGCTCAGTTTATATATAAAGAAGCCGGACGAGTGGATGAACGACGACGGCAGTATAAAAAGGGTAATTGGCTGCTATGTGCGTATACGTGTGGTTGGGAATTGATATTGGTAGATATGAGCGAGTATCCATGTGGTTTAGAATAGATTTAGACCAGAATGCCCACGGGTGTGTAGGTGTGACAAAGTATTCTGATGATTTAGCAGTGTAAACTGACCCTACTGTCGCTACTGTCGACATAATGCGTATTCCCGATTCTGTACCTTGCAATTACGACAAGTTTGCAAGTTTCTCTGTAAGGATATCTGTAGACATACAACCCAACATGACAAACTTGATAAGCCTGTAATGTTAAAATTGTCTGTGGAATGATCACCGTGAGTGGTATATTTAACTGTTGTTGCTAGCACAGGCGAGGGGTGCATGGTTCACGCGAGCATGTAGAAGGAATGTTTGAGTGTAAAAGGTACGTCCACGCTGCATCCATCATATAGATTTTTGCGATGAGCGCTTCTTTTCTATATGTTTCAAATTTGTGTGTATTCGGCCGTACGAGGTGCGTTGCAATACGTTTCCCAAACTTGTTACGCATATTCGCTTTAGTCAACAGCACGCCGACCCTATCAGGTAATACATATATAATGCACCACTTGAGCGTCTCTCCGGTTGGTCTTCAATCACTCAATTGACTCTGTTCCGTACGCTGCAAATAAAGAAACCCGTGCCGGGAGAAGTGGCGCTGTTGCAAGGCAAAGCTGCGATCTGCGTGGAAGAAGATGAGAAGGAAGCGCTCGCTGAGATTCTCAATGGGTGGGCGGAGGATGATGCGTACGACGACCTCGAGAATGAGCTGGAACAGAGTGTGGATCCCAAGTTAGTGGAGGAGATATACGAAGCCTTGAAGGACAGCCGCATGATCAAGTTTGGTGGACCACGGTACAGTGAGCACACCTGGCAAATCGCACGTATACGCAGGTGTTTGCGGGTGTGCAAGAACGATAAGGAGGACGCCATGGAGTTCTTGGTTAACCAGCTGAAGTGGCTAGGCACCGTGAAGCCGTATCAGATCAGGGTGTCGCCCGAGGAGCTCAGTACGAACAAGTTGTACTGGCACAAAACGGACTTGTCTGGGCACCCCGTCCTGATTTTCAAGGTGTGTCACGTAGAAATTGGGATCTTGGGCTATTTTTTTGCAACCGGTAGAATTGGGATGTATGTGGATTTTTAAGTGTAATACGACATACACTTTCAGCTTGTTAGTGTAGTTCTTCGACCTGTTTTGCGGAAATTCGGGTACTTGCAAGCTTGCTATTTGAAGATATGATGCCCTACAATAGCAGTCGTTCTATCTGGGGTTTAAGACAATTTCAATGCAGTATTATCGATATGTGAATAAAGTGAACTTTCGTTCGCTTAATTATGCTTAATATGAATTGTCCGCATGTATACGTATAGTTTGTATTGCACTGCAAGATCAGGCATAATATATACTCGTTATCTCGCACTTTTGAGTCTCCCCATCAACCCAGATTCGCATTGGTAAAAATCGGCTCCAGGGCAGTGAGAGCTGCTTTCCCAGTTCGACAGATGGTCTTTCACACATATATACTTTATCCGTATATTTAAAATTATGCTGACGGTGAATCTCCTATTGAGTAGCTTACGATTACTACGTGATCATGTGGCGGGACAGATCTATCTGGGGTTGTCTATGGAGTCTGGTGTGCCGTGAATACTTACTTGTTTCGTCTTCCTCTCTCGATTTGTGTGCGATACCGTTACAGATGTCACGACACACCACCACAAACAGAGACAAGAATGAGGCAATCCGGCTTTGGTTACGGAAGCTGTCTCAATTCGAGAATGAGAGGTGAGGTTTACCTCCGGCAATAGTGTGATCAACCTTTGGTCCCTGCTTCATCTTTCTAGATATCTATCGCTGACTGATATGCACGCTCTGTCGGATACGAATACACATGCGCGCACATTCTCTGACAATACTAAGATATACGCTACATACAACTATACGCTACATACAACTATATGCACATGCGCGTACATTCTTTGACAATACTAAGATATACGCTGCATACAACAATGCACATGCGCGTGCGTTCTCATACAATACTTAGATATACGCTGCATACAACCATATGCACATGCGCGTACGTTCTCAGTGTTAGTTTGTTTGCGAATAAAGCAGCCATGTACAAACACACACAGTGATTCAGTAGAGACAGCTGACTAGAATCTTTACGTTGGCGCGTTCTTGCGAGCTTGCAATCAGGACAGTCTCACTGTCGACTTTACTAGTCCATGGCACACAGCCAGTTTTCATCCTAGAACACATACGTATCCTGCCCTAATATCTACAATGGGACACAATCACCGCTGAAATAGGACACATTTTATTTTCCGTGTCAACCAATCAGGGCCGATAATCCGTACAGCAAGTTCTGCATCATCTATGACCGACGCAATTGCACCATGGAGAACAGCGACGTACCTCTGCTGAAACGGATCCTCAGGATACTTCAAGGTTAAGATCTCGACTGCATCACTTTTAGAGTCTATCCTTCATATATATTTTTGGTCCAATGTGATTAGGCCTCGATACTTAGGTTGACGTTATGTTGTCTTATTCTGGTTTGTTGTCCGTAAACGTATTGCCAGACAGCTCGTAACGAATTCCAACAGTTTAAAACACATATACGGCAAAGTGGCGTCGATTTACAGTCCTTCTGAGTCATTCTTGAAACGCTTGCCTACACCAATAAACTAATTATGTGTGCATTTTTACCTCCCACACACAGTAACGTACTCCGATATGCTCCACAGAGTATACATCATCCACTCGGATTACATATTCCAATACGGATTCGGCCTCCTGAGCCATTTAGTGACGCATCGGCTGCGAAGGAGAGTGCTGGTGCTAGACGATGATGTATGTCATTACTCTACTCACGTCCTACGTGTACGTGTCAGTTTATATGTTCTGCGTATCGAGAATACTGAAGGCTCCTTCCTAATTTGAAGGTGATCATTTAACTACGCACATGACCTTCGCAAAGCTATCTCGTAACTAATATGTTTTGTTTTGTTTTGTCTCTCCACGCATACAGAAATACAAAGAGCAATTGATACAAAATTTTGGTTCGGAAAATCTCGAACCAGACATGGGCGGAACTTGCCCCTCAGTACTCGATAAGGACGGTCTAGTTATAGAATAGATCAGAAACGAATAAATGATGGAATACATGAATCACTCGATCTAGTTATAGAATAGATCAGAAACGAATAAATGATGGAATATATGAATCACTCGATCTAATTATAGAATAGATCAGAAAAGAATAAATGATGGAATATACGAATCACTCGGTCTAGTTATAGTATAGATCAGAAAAGAATAAATGATGGAATATATGAATCACTCGGTCTAGTTATAGTATAGATCAGAAAAGAATAAATGATGGAATATATGAATCACTCAGTCTAGCTATAAAATAGATCATAAACAGTTTCAATGGATACGATTGCCTAACAATCGAGACTAGAAATAGATAGGAACTTTTTTTTAGAATTTTTATCTAACACTCTGCGGTCGTCCCGATCGACGCGGTCACGATGTCCACGCGAGTCCAGAGACAGAGAACCTCACCCACCACAACAATCCCGCGAGGAACATCACCACAGAGATCAACATACAACACATGTCGACCCAAATGTTGGGCTCAACACGACGTACCAGAATTGCACCACTCAGGGTGGCGTGTACTCCTGGTTCTGACAACAGCAGCATCAAGAACAACCACTAGGTCTTTTAACACAAACCTATCAGTGGCCTATGCAGCCATCTGGCACGGATAACCAGCAACGGCATGCAGGTCGGCAACCTCAAAATGGTACCTATACATTCCTAGGGCAAATACCCTACCAGGCTAATACAGTGAACGGCAACATACATTAGGCAGCCAATCATTTCACATACACACACAACCAGCGCTTACCTCAAGAGTTTCAAACGCACCACATCCAAGCACAGGATATAATGCAAAAGGAAGTTAATCAGATGAAAGCACAGGTTCAGACATTAATCGAGGATAACAACCGGATGAAAGAGGAAGTAGCAACAGATGCAGGTGAAGCACGAGGTATGAGACCAGCTCGATGAGCTGATATGGAGTAGTACCGTCTGCAATCAATGCTCCCAACACCCTCCGATACGCAAAAGAAAGTACTTGAAGAAGGTAAGATGTTTACATTGTCGCAAGTGAAAGCATTAGTTCGTAAAGATACAGACGCAACACGCACAGACTCAGTAAAAATCACGGCTGATGGTATGAAGTTAGAACGCCAAAAAGAGAAGCTGAGCTCACACATAGATATTATACACATGGCGTTGATATCAGTCGCGTTGCTAATGTCATTCATCCCTAAGCTAGTAAACGATACATCGGCAGTATATGATCTCCTTCAATGGCTAATCAAGGCGTGTGAGCAGTGCAAAGTGCACTCACCAGCAGCTATCAAAGGTCAATGTCCAGATGGTCGCAAACACGTCACACCTACCAACACTGCAGCTGGATCCAAGTGACTTAGGCACGTAAGCTCACACTCCTCTACATCCTCACGCACAGACTCCCCAGATCATAGTGCACACACATACACCATTAACCACACACCAAGCGTTCCTGATAGCAATATATCACAAATAGGTTACCCTTACAAGAACTGGGGACAGAACGCCCAGATACTGGGCGTAAAAAACACCACGCACACAATCAGCACCATCAAATACCCACCGCACTTTTCAGTAGAAGCAACATCCAGAATGAGTGTGATCTTGGACGCACTCAAGATCCATACACACAGAGGCAGATAGATCAACTGTCGTTCTTCAGAGTATCTCCCATCGGCCTTCTCAACAAACCAGGACATACCACCACGGTAAAACACAGGGTATCTCATGACCTATCATACGATAAGGACTCGGTGAATGAGCACATCCCACCTATGATCAGCAGCCCTACGCGTTCACGCGTTATCAAACATTTCGCGGTGCAACCCGTCGGCACACGCATGAGCGTGCTCGATATATCTTCAGCGTTCAGGATGCTCCCCATATGGTCGTGGCATGTACTACTACTTGGTTTCTCCAATGCGGGTATGTATTACTTTGAGGCCACCCTACCATTCGGTCTGGGTTCCGCTCCGTATCTATACAAACAACTGGGCACAGCTTTGGACTTCATAGTCATAACACACTTGGCTTTATGGATACAGAGGTATGCGAACCATTTCCTTGTGGTACACAAAACCACGGACTACAGCATCGCCAAAGGTGAGATTGACAAAATGCTAGCTTTATTTTCACGCCTAGGGGTGCCCGTGGCTCAACACAAGACTACAGCAGCCGTGACTAATGCAGAATACTGTGGTGTAGTATTCAATTCCATATGCTATACTGTCTCAATCCCAGAGAAAAAACCGGTGAAATACGAAGCACTTCTACGCAGTTTGTTAAAACGGATCAGGGCAACAACCAAGGAATGTCAAAAGCTGGTCGGCTCCCTCACAGACCAGGAGCGATTCTACCACAAGCAGCCGCGCTAATGCCAACCATGTAGACCTTACCCATCAACGGTCCAGGCTATCACTACGTACGAATCCGGCAAGAGATACGAGACGCAATCGGGGAATGGTATATTTCATCTGTGGAACGGCACTAGGCAATTGACGCACCCTGAGAAAGCAGTTGGTTGTTTGTCGACGCTTGCACAGCACACGGAGGCGGAGGATTCGACGCCTCAGGGCGATGGTTTTATATAGAATAGTTACCTCATCATAGCCGTTACTGCGACAAGTCGTACAGAATCAAACACTCAGCTATTCATTAATGCGCTGGAGTTACTCACACTAGTATACGCTGTGTCCTTATTTGGTCAGGAATGGAGTGGGAGATCGGTTATTATTTATTGTGATATTACAGCCGCATGCCAAGCCGTTACACGCAGACAATCAGACGCCATAGACATGCATAGATCACTCCAACTACTAGCCATGATAAAAATACACTACGATATACATGTATCGGCTCAACATGTCAAGGGGATCGATAACGGCGTCACAGATGCGATCTCGCGTACTGATGACGAGGAAGCTAGACGCTTGTATCCTCGTCTGAAACACAAATCTGTGCCCCTCCGCTCACTCGCGCTCCATAGTGAGCAGAGCTTTGCAAAGAGATACGCACAGCGGAGCAATTACTTAACATTATTGTGTACATAATCTTTACTCTTTTCCTCTTTTGTTTTTATAAATAACTCTGAAAATAATTAAAAATACTCAACGACCGGCAACAAATTGCGGGCTTCCCTTCTGTCTCAATCTTCACCCACATCACAGGCACAACGACCCTACTATTCCACACCAGCAGTCTACAGTGAGCAAATCAACGTCGACTCCCTGAGAAAATACATGGACCAGGTGGCCCCTTTCGGTCGAGCGCCACGGACAATTGCTTCGGGGTTAAGCATCCAGTGTCGGTTCCTGGATTTCTTGTACCACATGCGCTGGGTCAGTATGTCACAACTATCCGCACATGACCTTCCACTTGATCCCATGGTCATTGTGTATTACATTAGCTGGCTCGCCTTACTATGTTACAAGGCTTGCCGCCGAGCACTATTCGCGTCTATTTGTCGCACATACGAGCACTCTACAAAGCAGCCAATTTAGAAGATACACACACGAACGCATACCACGTCACCTATTTAATGAAAGCAATCACCCGTTATATGGCCATAAATGGTAGCCTACTTCAACGTTGTCTACGTAAGCCTATCACCCCACACATGCAAGAACATACATTCTCACAACGTTGCGCCCCTTTTTGAACCAACCCAGTTGGATCAGGTTCTGGGCAGCATCCTGCTTAGCCATATTTGGGATCCTACGTATATCCGAGATTACAGTAGAGAGTATGTATGAGGAGTATTCGCACATTCACATGTCTCGCCAGTACATATCTCAGGCTGCTACACACACAATTATTCGGCTACCTATGTCTAAAACTATGTTAGTTCTCGCCAGCTTATGCATCCCAAATCTACCGAGCAATCCACATATGTGCCCGGGTCGTGCACTGCGCACCTGGATATCACTGACCATATCGGAATGTCAAACTAATCACATATTCTCTATTGTAGGAGAGGCATACAGTAAAGTTCAATTCAAGAAAGATATGGCAGCGGCCTTCCTGGCGGCCGACATCAACATGCAGGGATATCGCGGCCACAATTTCCGAATCGGCGGCCTAACAGCACTCAAAGAGGCAGGAGCAGAGCTTGACGCGACTGCTGCGGCAACCGAATGGAAGTTGCGCGCGTACATGGGCTATTGGTTTAAGACATCAGCAGAGAAAGATAGGCGTGAAGGCACGCATGGTTAGCCAGCCACCACCTCAGATCGCATCACACCTATGCGACACCCTCACCTTATCAATTCCATTTTGGAGTGGGCATTGAGGCCCGCAAGCTGGCTCTCCGACTGGGATTGGCGTGAGCGGTCTCTGGTCATCCTAACCTGGACGGGAAGGATTGGTCACACTGTATGTATATATCCTCTTTAGGAGTATAACACAGCTAAAGTCTGCGTGAACCTCAATGCAATAATAGATACGCAGAGAGGTCATGTAGTCTGTGGCCAATACCTCTCTCTAACGGGAAAGGCCGGTTAGCGCCGCATCCTTTCGCCACAATACATTAAAACTGTTTATAGAAGTTAAAGAGTAATCTTTAGAAAGTTAATCAGGTGGAAAAGTTGCCGTGGGAGATACCATAATCCGGACTCATTGTCAGTGGATACTGAAATACTAATGTCAACATGATTGGTATATATATAGAGGCCACCAAATATTACTGGCCATAGAAAAGCTACCTGGGATATGGCACACCTCGGCAGACATGAGTGTGATGAGAGGACTTGTAAAAATATAAACAGGATCCGGCCAGAAAAAGCTGACGGTATGTAGTGGGAGACCCGAAGACAATATGTAGTCACTTTCTCGATTGCCTAACAATCGAGACTTGAAATAGATAGGAACTTTTTTACCCATCCACCCTCACCTTTATTAATAAACTGACGAGATCCACTCTGGATCTTCGTGAGCGGTCTCTGGTCAGTCTAACCTGGACGGGAAGGATTGGTCACACTGTATGTATACATCCTCTTCAGGAGTATAAAACAGCTAAAGTCTGCATGAGAGGTCATTGTAGTCTGTGGCCAATACTTCTCTCGAACGGGGAAGGCCTACGGGTCTCCCACTATATACTGTCAGCGCCAGATCCTGTTTCTTTTTTTCCAAGTCCTCCCATCACACTCATGTCTGCCGCGGGTTGCCATATCCCAGGTAGCTATTCTATGGCCAGTTATATCTGGTGGCCACTATATATATACCAATCAGAACTATTGTTGAAATTAGTATTTCAGTATCCACTGACAACGAGGCCGGAATACGACCTCTCCCACGGCTCCTTCTCCACCCGTGTAACTTTTTAACTTCTAGAAAAAATAAATGGTGGAATATATGAATCACTCGGTCTAGTTATAGTATAAAGCGAATAAATGATGGAATATATGAATCATTCGGTCTAGTTAAAGAATAGATCAGAGAAGAATACATGATGTAATATATAAATCACTCGGTCTAGTTATGGGATAGTTTAGAAAGGAATAAATGATGGAGTATATGAATCACTCGGTCTAGTTATAGAATAGTTTAGAAAAGAATAAATGATGGAATATATGAATCACTCGGTCTATTTAGAGAATAGATCAGAAAAGAAGAAATGATGGAATATATGAATCACTCGGTTTAGTTTTAGAATACATCAGAAAGGAAGAAATGATGGAATATATGAATCACTCAATGTAGCGGTGAATCGCTGAGGGCACGATTCTAGGCAATCACGCGTGAACATCACCCGACGCAGGGTATTGTTTTCAATTGGACTCTTATATATGGGCTGAGACATCGGAGTGTGCAAATTCGGGATGGAGAGAAAATTAGATAGCAAATCACCATTTAATTCGAGGAGTTTCTCTCTCTCCAGTTTTCCAGTATTAGAGTCCAATATTCTAAAGTTCCTTTGCGAATTGCAACTCAATCCTCTCCGCTCGTCTTCTACTTGACCTGAATTCCCCACAACTCTCAGAATATCATGGTATCGATTCCGGAGATAACCTATCCCTTCACTTTTTACATGACAAGGAATGGGTGCTAAACTTTAGTCTTGTGTTCCAAGGTCGCCCATCTAATGCTTTCTAAGTTGTGGTGCATGGAATCTCAAATGTCTGCATGTGAGATCACACGTGTATGCTACTAATATATTCATCACTTAGATGGCCAGCTCCAGCAGTTTCTCTGACACCCATATCGCTTGCACATAGGTGTACTTTACAACTACAAGCAAGCCCCATTTCTGCTGCCGTTGGTTCCGTGCCAAACGTCCCATACCAACACATGGGGCAAATTCACAACCTGTGCGGTCTAGTATTGTGCGAGCTGATCGAGATCACCCCGTTGCTTGGTATAGTTGGCATTAATCTCACCCAACACCCTCCTCATGGCGCCTTTGCCTTGAATGTTATACTGCCATCCGAGTACATAAGAGAGTTCCTGCACGGCCTTCAGACTACGTTTCCCCGCGTACTCGTTGTTGGCACAATTGAACACCCGCTCGAGTAATAGTTTGAGAGCCTTTTCAGTGGGCAACTTGGAGACGAATTCCGAGGCTATGGCCCGGTAGTATCTGCAGTGCGGGTCGTTAAGAGATTGTCGTGAGATTTCATGTGGTGCGACACCAGAGACGGGTCGGATGGCATACCTACATCTCGACACTCGATTGAGGTACTATCAGTTTGAGCTAGGGTTCGGTAGACAATGTAATTTTTCATGATCGAACGAGTTGTAAAAACCGTATGGAAAACATATGTAACAGATCACGCACCTACACTACCACAGGCACAGACATACTTCCAAGGGCCCCGAAGTGCCGAACTGTATTTACACTGTTCTATTGAGCTAAAAAATAATTCACGCGTCGCAATCAACTACACGGGATTCAGAGGCATCCAACCAGAGACATCCAAGTAAAACTCTTTGAGCCACGATACAGTACGGCACAAAAAAGCATTCACCTTGTCCTCGCCTCGTGCAGTGTGTCTGCCACCAGCAGATCGGCGATGTGGAGCTTCTGACCGGCCCCCAAGTCACCTGAGTGTACCTGCACCGTGTTGTAGCACTGTGCGTCGATGACATCCATAACATCGAACACTCTCCGCAGACTCTCGTCGGTTCCTTGACCTATCCACTGCATGGCCAGCTGTCGCAGCACATGCCCTGCGTGTTCGTACATGTCGCAGATGTCATCTGTCTCTGTGCGGGGCTCGTGCAGTGCGCTCAGTCGCCGCTTGTATATACTTCCTTCGTCCAGAGGAGCATGCGCACTCAGCTTCCGGGCTTCTATCCCGTCTGCAAGGCCTGTGGCTTGCATGACCCCATGGCACACGGATAGAGTGGCATACACAATACACTCCGCATCAGACAAAGCACTCGATTCTCCGGTAGCTGGTTTGGTAGGCGGTGCTTGTATATCGCACATACGACCTTTGTCCACCCATGATGGCAACGGCTTGTAGTCGTTTTGAGGTCGTACGTAACATGAGGTGGGCGTAGGCACATAAGAGGCAGCCGGATTTTGCGAATGCGCATGCTGGTTTCGTACGGCTTCCGCACTGCTGTCCAGATTGGCACAGAATCCTGACATGAGGCTGTGTACATAGTACTGTTAAGAAGAGATGTCAGTTAATAGCTTGCACTCAATATCGCTCGAAAATAACAACAGTAGATGATTAGAGGGCCTCCTACTGTTACAAGCGCTTGTCCAGAATTAGTTGTCACGATTTCGCGAGAGATTTGACACTATGAGACACTATGCACATACAATGCACGTTACATGCGAAATTTGTGTATGTATGTATGTGTGTGTGTGTGTGTGTATGTATGTGTCTCTCTGTGTGTGTAAAATCAGGCATAAGAAACACGCAACCAACAAAACCAGATGGACAATGTGCGGAATATTCTACCCAACATATAGGCAACTCCCACCCCAATCCACACACGCACCCAAGGCAGAACTATGCGAAGGGCCAGTTAATAATGATTGGTTAATAAGAATGTATGCTACTACCATCTAAAAGAAATATAATAATCTCTATCTCGACGGTTGATTATTTAAACGGTCGATTGTGAGCAATTGACATCCACACGACACTCCTACACTACCTGCAAAGTGATGGCGTCAATCTGACCTGGGCCCATCTGCTTGTCTCGCGCCCTGTAGAACTGTCTGTGGTTTAGAGCTACAGACATCTCTGATAAAGAAGCACCCTCCCCATTTCGTGTCATAGACCCCCCTGGTAGGATCATTCCCTCAGCAACTTCTGTTTCCTGTTCCAGTCTCCGTTTTTTTGCCAAGGTTATGAAATCTTGCAGTAGCTCTGGTTCGTTCAATATACCCATCCTACCGGATTGGTGTAGTACAAGCTGTACATAACAACGAGAAACACTTTCAATATCAAAGAAGAAATTATGATACATAACTATGACTCTATATATATATATATATATACAATATATATAGATATATATCTCGTTATACATATACACAAACATATACATATACATATACATGTACATATCCGTATACACATATATATATATAAATCCATATACATATACATGTAACCAAAACGTGATTCCTATACGCTAAAATTGACAGCATCACCAAATTTGTACCACACGCGGTCCATTGCTAGCAAGCATTTAGGCTTCAAAATCCAAAGTCAATGAAACGTTCTAAGTCGCCCATAAGCACAGCTGCTATAAATGCACAGACTGCACGTTTTCTATCAGTAAGGTGTTAAGAACACGACGCTAGCACATAGAGGATACCTTGTAAGCTTTGAAAGCTGTCTTCACATGCAGTTCAGAGATCGCCTCCTTCATTAGTTCTACGGAAGTTTTCTCCGTGTTGCTGCTTGATGTCGCCTCTATTGCCGCGAGAAGGACCGGAGCGTAGGCCGCCGCTTTCCCTGAAATCCGCATCTGGATGGAAAACGAGCGTAGCAGAGTGTGGAGTGTGAGTAGGTATACCATATAATAGCGTGTATTAATATATATTTGTGTGGGTGTGCAGAGACCCGGCGAGTGATACATGTCTGTATGCGTATAAAAATATACAGAATATACATGTCAGATATGTCTGCATGCGTACTAAAACATGCAGAACGCGCTTGTCAACCAGGTGCGTCTCTCGACATTTGCATATGTCAGAGATTTTTGCCGCGAAGAAGGGTACCTAAACGAACGGTTGCGTAGGATGGAAAGCTGATGCGAATCGTAACATAGGAGGACATCCTGGTAGCTAAGAACGGCATGCCATACCGTAATCCGGCACATGCTGTATTGTCAGTTTGTATTGAATTGCAATATAAGCTAAATCCACGATACAGTCGAAGTCGAATTTTAACTTAAATCACATACCTTGCGTCTCTGAGCCCGCAGAATACGCTCCGTCTCTAGATGCCTGCCCGCTGTCAGCTTCACAATATGACTCATAATCGTCGGTGACGGCTTAAGACGGTCGTATCGCATAGCACGCAACACCGTGTCGACATCGTAGTGCCGCCTGTTCTGAGACAAGAGTGTAAACAGCAGCTCATACCCTCTCGATAGTACAACCTTCATAACGCGAAGTGGAGAACAGCCGTCGAGGTCAGCTACATCGCCGTGGTTGGGGTTGTCCACCGCTTCCACACTCACCACATTCATCTCATGTTCATTTGCCAGCCTCTTTTGTGCGACTTTGGCTCTTCGAGTACTAGTACTATTTCTAACCGTTCTAGACCCACTTTTAGACCCGTTGCGTCTGCCCTTTTCTTTATCGGGACTATTATCTACTTTTCTCGGTGTTTGAGCATAGGGCGCCGCGATCGGCACAGTCTGCAACGACGTAGAGATCGCCGATGCTACCCTTCTCACAATCCGTACCGCCACATCCACTTCCATATTCGGGTCGGCGTTTGCATCTACATTGACCCGCACACCCCCATTCTTGTACTGTGTCTCGCCCAAACAGCTGAGGGCGCAATGCAGCGCATTGTACCTCACGAGCGACTCATCCACTCTGCACATATTCTTCAGCACCTTCTCCACCAGCTGCAAGTTTCGGGTGCCTCGGCTGGTGGCCAGCAGATGTGCTGTCCACATCTCGTTCCACGAAACGCCTGTCCAAGAGTCCTGCAGAAGTTGTCAATAACAAAGAGTGAGTTAGCCTGTGCTTGCTTAGCAGACAACAGTAGTTCCATCGTGATCTAGTATATTACGTATACATAATATATATATATACATAACAATAAAATAACATATATATATATACACATGTGTGTGTAGATATATATGTGTATGTATATGTATAAATATATATATATACATATATATGTATATATATGTATATATATATATGTATATATATACATCTATATATATATATATATTATAATGTATGTGTGTATGTTTGTGGTGTGAATACATATATATATATATATATACGTATGTATACACACACACATATATATAATCTATCTATCTCTCTACTTATTTATCCATCGATATATATATATATACACACACACACACACACATATATATATATATATATAGATTATATATGTGAATGTATATATATATATATATATATATGTATGTATGTATGTATATACATACATACATGCATACATACATACATATATACATATTTAAATACATACATACATACATACATACATACATACATACATACATACACACACACATATATATATATAATTTCGACGATGATACTCGCCTCAGTATGATGCCATACTGGGGTCCCGCTGTACTCTATTCAAAGTACGCGGTAGAGGCGGGACCAGGCAAGAGCGAAAATTCTGTAATTAACAAGAAAACTACTGCGAGGCAGTCCGGAAAACACGTGACAGTGTCGCACGGCACACGGCTTAGTTACCCTTTGGAGCAATGACTGCTGCGCAGATCCCTTGTGCATCTCATTGAGCATCTTGGCGGTGTATCTGTGGTTCCCATTGTTGGCCTCTGTCCAGAGAATCACATTCTTGGCTATTCTTCTATTCAATTTGATCCTCTTTCTATTTATATTTTCCAACAGAACTGTATCCGTCGTGTCTATGTTCTTGTTTGCGCCCACACCGGTTGACTTGTATCCTGGGAGGTTCGTTTCAGATGACCCGTTCGGTATTGACATACCCAGTGTTGCTCTTATCTTACTATACGTATCCGTATTCTCCACACCTCTGTCAGCCTCCACCATCAAACCCCCCCCTACTTCCTGACTACCCACAGGCTCAGTCATCTCAGTCGCCGCTTCCGTCCCTGTAGGCGTACTCTGCTTCCTCTTTCGGGTTCTCCGAGCGAGTGGTTGCTTACCCTGTGATTGACCACTGCTATTCGACGACCAGTTTTCTAAGTTCTCATTAATCGGCTGTCCTCTAATGATTTGACCATAATTCGAAGGTCTACCTGTCAGTGCGTGCACCTCCTGCAACCTACCGGCACGTGCGTACCCGAGGGACAATACTTCCAATCCAGCCCCCTCTCGCTTATAGCAGCCCTCGTCGTTCTGTAGAAGGCGGTATATCTTGTGTGTTTTGTCTAGCTGTCCAAACCGATTGTAGATGGTCATGAGAAGCTCGTATGTAGTGGTCGTGGGCTGTATACCGGCACTCTTCATCTCCAGAAACCACTTGAAGGCGGCCTCCGCATCTTGGTGTCCATATTGCTTCATAAGCAGCTCATACGTGTACCGTGACGGGGGTGTAGGGTTGTCTGGGTTGGTCATGAGGCGGATCACTTTCTTCGTGAGCGTGAGATTGTTCGTCCCTGCCACCGACAAAAGTATTTTATTGTACACTTCGAGCCGCAGTTCCTTCGGAAACTTGTCCACCGTGTCGATTCTCGATGGTATTTTGTAATCCGACAGCCTGGCTAGTTCCAATGCAGGTAGTTGTGATCCATTGTCCAGGTTTTCTGATTTGCGTTGTGCTATCGGCTTAGGCCTGGCTGCATGTGATGTCCTAGCTGACACCTCAGCTGCGCTATACTCTTTTTTAATTTCCTGGATACCTCTCTGTAGACCGGCCAAAGAAGATGGGTCAGGATGAATAGATTGAGTAAATGAATAAGTGCGCTTGTATATAGCCAAAGTGGGGGGTCGCTTGTACGTCTCATGAAGTTGTGCATTGATCGTAGCTACGATATTCATTCCCTATTTTGCACTTGACCATTCCTTCTAGACCCACCATTTAAACACATGTATAGGTACAACTCAACAGCATTGCGTACTGCACACAGACCCAATACACCTGGTCTGACTGAAGCTCAGTACTATCTACAAAATTCTGAATCCACTCCCGACTAACCTGCTGCGTGGCGTACACTTGAGCTTTCAGCTGCTTCACATCCTCCTCGAGGCTCGGCAGTATTTCTGACAGCTTGCGGGTGCTGCCCTCCCCTTTAACAGCCAACTCCACCACGCACGCCAAGTTCTCCTTACGAGGCTCCTGGCCGTAGTAGCCCATGTGCTTCACCACATCAAGCACACCCACCGGGCCCTGCAGCTCGCCTGCGGATATCAGGATCATTTCCCACACCCGATTGTGGATCTTCAGCGCCTGCTCACGCTTACTCACGACGGTGCAGTCTGGAAAGGCACTCACCGCACGCACAACATTGGCCACGTTCTGAGTCTCGCGCAAGTGGGCGTGGATGATGGGCTGCATGCAATACATCAGCCCAGGCACCTTGTGCCGGTTGTTGCGGTACTCGCGCTTGGCGTAGTGCAGTAGACCGTAAGCATCGGCCCAGCCGTTCACCGCCAATTCGATGGACACCTGTCAAGTCAGTGTAATGGAGAGTGAGCGACATCGGATACACGAAAGACCAATTTCCAAATCGTTTCAGCTAGTATAAGCAAGTAACTGCCCTATCAGTTAACGGTGTGGACGCTTTAAGTGAGAGGCTCGATGGAGGCATGATGAGTAGGAGGCGATCTAGTTTCAGACATTTTGAATAGGTGCACGCTTGAATAGGAGAAAAGTATACTAAACCAGTAGGATGGGTTGCCCCGACAAATTGTCCTATCCCGATATAGCGCTTTTACTAGTTAAGAGTGCCAGAGTGCGCACGATGGTACGAGAAAGAATTTTCCGTTATCACCCACTTTAGTGATATAAAGACAAAACTCGATAATGATAGTCCGAATTGGTGCTACTCGATTACCGCGTGCAAAATGCTACACCTTGAAGATCTACGCGAACTATGTTCGTAGACAACATCAGTAACCGATTACAAAACAGACACCGATTTACCAAACACTTGTAGGCTACTAAGTCTGTCGCGACGTTCTTTGAGTCCATGTAGGGTACGATCATACGAGTATCTACTCCCAGCGCAACGGCCTCGGCAGGGTATTTGCTCATCAAATTCAAGAAACAATTGAAGTGTCGCGTGTTGAAAGATGCACCGCTTTGTGCGAGACTTTCCATACTCTCCAACATTAGCTTGATTCTGAACAAAACAATTATCTTTTGTAAGCTTTTTAGATGAGAAAGTTTAGCGCGATAGTGATATTAAAGGAAACAGTGCAGACAGGATCCTTTCGGAACAGATAGACTCGATATAGACGAGTGTACAAGGTACAACGGAGGTAGAGGTAAATGACTTGACAATAAATAGCAAAATATATGCGTAAATATTAACACAACAATTATATATAGATATATAGATATATATATATATAAATATATATATATATATATATGCATATGTATATATGT